ATAAAGAAACATGTAAGCCTGGTGAGGGCACTATCACCACAAAATAAATACCAGTGCTAGTCTAACAAGAGTTCATGGTGTTTTCTACTTGAGGTCGGAAAAACTCCTGTGTCCAACCCCCAACTCTCTGTGTTCTAGAACACCAAATGAGGTCTGGTCTTTATGTTGAAGTTGATGACTCTGTACAGCCAACTGATCTACCTGGGTTTCGTGCACGCGCGCGCGTGTGTGTGTGTGAGAGACACACACACAGAGACAGAGACAGAAACAGAGAGAAAGACAGACAGAGACACAATTATCAGTCTGCTTTTTTCTAGGGTTGACTACCAGTTACCTTGACTTTGCTCCTCATTCCCCCGTGATGCAGACTCACACAAGCTGCTTCTGTTTGATTCACATAGAACCGTGAGAAACAGCCCCGTATGTGAGGCCGTGTTTTTCATTCTATTCAGTCTTTGTATATTCAAATTCTCCCAGTTTCAGCTCTTGCTGTTCTGCCAGATTTCCATTGCATTGATGGCTTCTCTGAATTAATAAGTGTTTTGCAATCGCTGAAAAGTTTTCTCTCCCCCCGGCCCCTTCCCCAAGCACCGGGTCTTATCCATATTGATTTTTTTTTTCTTTCTCTTTCCTCTCTAGCTATTTCTCAGATGTTTTATTCTGTAAAGTGTTAATAGAATTTTTCTTTCGCTGTGACATTTTATCTATTCAGGAGGTCTTTGCGAGTCCCATTGTGCAACTGGACTATAGAGGAAACAGCTCTATTCTTTACGACAATGGTTGCCCTAAAAAACATACACAGATCCTCCCCCTCGCTCCCCAGGGTGGAGCGTATGTTGGGAGGGTAGCGTCAGAAAACACCCAAACTTTGGAAGGAAAAGAGGGAGCCAACTACGCACTGTTGAAGGGGGCGGAGGGCGTTGAAAATACTTTTTTTTTTTTTTATTTAATTCAAAATATTTATTTCCTAAGGGGATCTGAGTGTCAGGACCAAAACATGGCCAACACAGAAGGGAAGCTGTTTTCCTTACTGTTAGGCATTTTTAGCTCAAAATAAGGGCTTGGCAAGCATCTCAGAAAATGTGGAGATGGGTGTGAAACAGATGTCACGTTTACCTGCGCGACACCCAGCAGGCATCACCCCCCACCCACCCGCACCCCAGGCATTGGAATTCTTACCGAGGCCCTGGGGTCTGAATCTGCAATACCATATGCTCAAGTGTGACTGCTCTGTGTACAAACAAACCAGTTGATCTTCTGGTGGTTTTGCTTGAGTGGTGCACGGAGGCAGACGGCTGTGGTGTGTGTGGCCTCAGCAGGTGTCTGGGGGGCCATCAAGCCTGCCCGGCCGCGGAGGGGTCTGGTGAAGGCACCCCATCTCCAGCCTAGCATCACTTACCCCCCTCGGCCTGGTGCCCGGTGGAGACAGAGTAGCTCCTTGCTGGCACGGCAGTCACCGTGCAAGGCCATTGTCCTCCCAGTAACTGACTTTGAAAACGGGGACCAGAAGGGGAAGGCCCCAGGAGCCTGTTTGTTCAGACTCGGTTGCTTAGCAACAAAGGGGGGGGGGCTGACTCCGGAAGGGATTTTTAAGCTAGGCCAGTCCCTTCCAGGGTTATGTCTGGCTGGCCTACCCCCTCTTCCATTCTTACCTTGACTCTGCTTCCCGCCCCCCCCCCACCCCGTTCTATTTGATAGCATCTGGAAAAATAGATTTGATTTGTCTGGAGGCAGCATTTTAAGCCTGGTCTTATTGCTTTGCCCAGTGTCTTCCCCTCCATCAGAGATTGTAGTCTGGGAGGAGTGATGAATGAATGGCCTGTGATTCCCTTTCTCGGTTGGCTTAGCTCTGGCCCCCAAACTCATTTGTGAGCCTTTGAGCTCCAGCGAGCAGTGCTCAGTCCTTCCCAACCACACACATGCCGACATTGCCCCAAGCGCAGAGCCCTTTGGCTAGGGCTTTGCCCAGGACCACATGGGTTGAGTTGTAGTTTTAGTGCCAATCGTGGGCACACAATGAATGAGGAGACCAGGCTGCTTACCTGGCCAAACCAGGTACAGTCCCCAGGTGAGTAGCTGGTCGGCTAGGACCGCACCTGTACTAAAGATGTGCATTTTGTGGAAGAATAAAGAATTGGGTCATAAGTACAAGGAGTGGAATTCAAAAGCCAAATCTGGTTCAGTGAGGGTGACTTTCTTGAGGTCCACATGGGAATGGAGTGTGGATCCTGAAATCTTATTGCTGGAAATATCCAAAAGGGTTGCAGGATGCCTGGAAAGACTGAGGGAGGGATAGGAAGAGAGACAGAGGATGCCTTTGGTGTTTTCTTCTCTTTGATATTTTTGAAAAGGCCCTAGCATAAAGGTATTAGTCTGCTGGGGCAGCCACAACAAAGTACCACAGACTGGGTGGTCAAACAACAAAAATTTATTTTCTCACTATTCTGGAGGCTGAAGTCCAGCCTTGGCAGACTTGGTTTCTTCTGAGCCCTCTCTCCTTGGCTTGCAGACAGCCCCCTTCTCTCTGTGTCCTCAGGTAGGCTTTCCTCTGTACCTGTGTCCAGATTTCCTCTTTTTATAAGGACCCCAGTCAGTACTGGATCAGGACCCACCCTAATGACCTCATTTTAACTCCATAACCTCTTTAAAAACCCTATCTCCAAATACAGTCACATTCTGAGGTACCGGGGGTCACGACTCCAACGTCAGAGTTTGGAAGGGGGCACAATTCAGCCCATGATAATCAAGATGTGAAATTTCCATTGTCTATAACCAGAAACAGTTTAAATATCCACAGAAGGATTAATTGAGTAAGCTATAGTTTCTCACTCCATGAAATATTATGCAGCAGTCAAGATCGTATTGATAATACCTCACACCCATCAGGATGACTACTATCAAAAAACTCCCAGAAAATAACAAGTGTTGGCCAGGGTGTGGAGCAGTTGGAACCTTCGTGCCCTGTTGGCGGGGATGTAAAATGGAACGGCCACTGTGGCAAACGGTATGTCAGTTCCTCAGAAAATTAAAAACAAAGTTACCATATGATCTAGCAATTTCATTTCTGGGTATACATACCCAAAAGAATTGAAAACAGGGACTCAACGAGATACTTGTACACTCATGTTTTATAGCGGCACTATTTACAATAGCTAAGACTGAGTATCCATCCATCGACGGACGAATGAATAAGCAAAATGTGGTATTCACATACAATGGAATATGGCTGAACCTTGAGGACATTATGCTCAGTGGAATAAGCCAGTCACAAAGACAAATACTGTGTATTTCTACTTCCATGAAACATAGTAGCCCCCCCCCCCCCTTATTCGTGGTGTCCATTACCCGCAATCAACTGTGGTCCTAAAGCTGATGATCCTCCTGACGGATCATCAGAAGGTCAGTAGCAGCCTAACGCTACGTCACATGCCTCCGTCATTCATCTCACTTCCTCTCATCACGTGGCATCTTATCCTCTCTCTTTATCAGTGACAGTACAATAAGATGTTTTGAAAGAGAAAGACCACATTCACGCCACTTATATTACAGCATATTGTAATTGTTCTATGTTATTATTAGTTACTATTGTTAAATCCTTTACCGTGCCTAACGTATAAATTGAACTTTATCATAGGTGTGTATGGACAGGAAAAAACATGGTGTATCTTGGGTTGGGTACTGGCCACAGTTTCGGGCATCCACTGGGTGTCTTGGAATGTATGCCCTTGGACACGGGGGGACCTCTGTACTTGGAGTAGTCACAGTCAGAGACAGCAGACAGAAGGGCGGTTGCCGGGGGGCCGAGGGGGACCGAGGGGGACGAGGGGGTGCGGA